TATATATATTCCAGCAGCTAGGGCAGAATCAATACTACAAATCTTGTTCGAGCAGAATTTTTCGTAAACTGAAACATTTTCGAGATGAAGGAGGGAGAAGCGAGGCAGCCACCCAAGGCCCATTGTTGAGTACAGGAGCACGTGGCATTGTTTCTTGAATTCAACGGCACTCCATCCACGGCCAATCAGGTAGCGCTGAAGTCGTCTGCTCTTGCGCAGAACTTGGACTCTATATTATAGAGTGCTCTCAATCCAACTTGAGCGTTGGAAAGGAAGGGGAACGGATACGCAGGGAAAGGGAAGGAATACAAGCGCCAGCAAGTCTAGCAACCGGCAGAGCGTGGCTGGCTCCACATCCCCCCGTTTGAGGGGATTAGGCAGGAGGGAGGCGCGAGAAGAGAGGGAGCGAAGTGCGTGAGTACGCAATGCAACGGGGAGGGAGAACCTATGAGGTAACAGCCTGCGCTCGCGCATCATGAATAAAAAGTGGCTTCAAGGCCCTCCCTTGGGGTCCTCTACAATAATTATAAGCCAGAATTTGATTCTAGGGGGGTCGATTTTCATCTTCCCTTAGTACCTTAATTGCTGTTTCACTCATTTGTTACAACTTATTGCACAATCCAAACCCAATTTACAAGGGATGTACTTAAGGGGGTAATTAGCTGTTAGCTGGTCAAGATCTCTTGCACATCTGCTGGTGCTGATGCCAATATTGATAGAAGGAGGGAAAAGAATTTTGTGTAGTATTGCAATATGCAAAACTTTTTCCATGCTAGCCACTGGAGCAAAAAATGGCCCCCTGATGCTAACTTACTTTTAGGGATTTATGGGATTATTGACATTTTTTAAATAGAATATCTGTAATTTTTCCACTTGAAATATAAAAAATAAAAATATTATTTCATTCTTTTTGTATCCTTTATTTCCATTTTGTAGCTTTAATTTTAACTATCCAGCAACTCTTTGGAAAGAGGAACAAAGAAGTTAACATCAGAGCTGGGGGGGCTGCAATTTCACCCCAGTGGCGAATTTCAAACATCCATATGTTAGTCCTTATTTGATGTAGAGACCTAAAATTTTGACTGCATGCTATTCTCATCACAATTTGACTGTTTGCCAAATATAATTGCATTCCAAGATGGTGAGCACACACCTTTGGATCACCAATAAACCATGTGCTAATAGGTGTGAAAAAAGTAATCAAGTTTCAGTGAAACTATGGAAGAGGGAGGGGTTACTGTAGTCACCCACATGGTGAAAGTGAATGAGGAAATTCTTCATCCACCCTGGAAATTCAGAGTGCCATCAAATTTTGCCTAGAGGTGGGGAAATATGCCATGCTCCAGGAGTCTTAGAAGCATTTGAATGACACAAACTATTTGTGGAAAACAAGACTTTTTTTTATAGGGTTGACCCAAGGTTAGGACCATAATTAACCCTTTGGCTCTTTGCCTGAGTACATACTCAGGCTTGTGTAGTGGTAGCATGGATATGTTCTCAGGCTCAGAACATTCACTGTTTCTAGGTTAACTCACAGCTATTTATGCATGTAACTGCTATCTTCAATAATTATCATGATATGACATTTTCTTACATGAACTATTGTTTTTAGACAAGCAGACAAGTGGGGTAATTTTTATACGAAAACATACCCGCCATCCCCCCTGTGTTATAACAGTCAAAGGGTTAACCTCGTCTGGAGAGTTGAACATATGTAATGACCTTTTTTGGATCATACATGCCTGTTGAGTATCACTGAGTAGTCTGAAGCATATGCTCCGAAGTGGCAACAAACATGCATGGTGCATTTCCCAAAAGTCATAATTTTCAGGGTATTTTGAATTTTGAATTTGGGTTTTGACTCTTCACTCATTTTTTGCTAAGTAGATCTGGGAATACACAAAAAAAACTTTAAAATTTGAACGAAAATCAGTGAGAAATTTTGCCCATGGACCCCTAAGTCCAAAAACAAGGTATATATAACATTCCTTGACAGACCTTTCAAGGGAGATGTCACTAGATTGCTAGTGTTTTTCCGAATCTGTGAAAATGTGTGCAATATTTTAGAGAAATAAATGCAATATCAAATTCATAAGAACTGAAAATCTGAACTGTTCAATAATTACTTGATAGACTTTAAGGGCATGATACAGAGTGTAAAAATCATAGATGCAATAACATGCCATACAGACTGAAAAAAAATCTAGTTTTCCTTTTCTGTGGGTGGGATGTACCTCCACCACCTTCAAGATCCTCATCCTGGTCAGATGTGGAATCTGTACCAAACTTTGGCATGAAATCATTATCACTATTTGTAGCACTTAAAGTGAATCCCTCATGTGTTTTAAGCACATGGCTGCAACTATGGGTCATCTGCAGGGGCTGGGAAACGAGTGGGATGGTGGGTAACTGGAAGGGTGAAAAAATGCTAAGTGTTGTTATTAGTGTCAAATTGTGTCTGAGAAGAACCCTTGATGCCAGCAACATCACCTTTTGTGCATCACATCTCTGGGTGCTTTGTGTGGTTATGTATGCATGACCTTTCAAATTGACCTTTGTTGACAATGGTATTCTTAGCAGGAGTTTTGTAAATCAACCGTAGTCTATTTTAAAAATAAAATTGTAGAGTCGGTCCTGGAACTCTTTGACCACCCCTTGTATTTGCCATCTAAGCTGGAAAATTACGATAATTTGTTTTTATACTTGAGAAGTGACCTATATACTCTCTGCCTAGTTCTGGCTGCATTGACTGCAATGAAGACCTGGATATCAGGAAACAAAGCAGAGAGAACTGAAGAGGGCAAGAACGAACCTTCAGGTCATCCTCCTACCACACCTGTGATAAAGAGACCCTCACGACATCGTGATGTTGGTTCCAAAAACAAACATACCAGGTTGGTAGTCACTTCCTTCTTTGCTCTTGAGTTTGGGATCATATCTATTGGGTTGGAAAGAAAGTCTTGCAACACTTTCTAAAACTATTTCTAAAAATTTTCAAAGGAATGATGGGCAGGGCTTTGCATTTGTATATGCTGGAATGTTCTCGAAGCTTCTGCCCTCGGGGTATATAAGGCGGCTTCTGCCATTAGTTGGCAGCCATGGCTCCGATCGAACAAGCAACTCTTTGCCCCATCATCTACTACGAGTTCCTCCAAGGACACTCTGCGAGAGCCGCCACGAACAACATCTGTGCTCCATTCAAGGGCAACGTCGTCCACTATTCCCCGGTGTCTCGATGGTTCAAATGCTTGGAATCTGGCGACACGACCTTCGGAGATTGACCATGCTCAGGACGTCCATCTACAGTCGATGACAAAGCCCTGCAGAATGCCCTCAACGCGAAGCCAAACGTCACCACTCATGAATCGGCGACTACACTTGGAGTCACCCATATGGCCATCGGCAACCATCTGAACGACCTCGGCTATCGGAAGGTTTACTCGACATGGGTCCCTCATCGGCTCGGCGACTCTGACAAAGCAAGCCGTGTCAGTGTCCGTGAATCACTGCTCCTTCATCCGCACAGAAAGGACCTTCTGAAGGAAATCGTTACTGTAGATGAGAGCTGGGTCTTCTACGTCGACCATACTCGCAAGAGTCAGTGGGTTCCACAAGGAGAATTGCTGCCACACGAACCGAAATCAGGGTTCCACGAGAAGAAGGTTCTTCTCTTCTGTTGGTGGGATTCAGAAGGAATGTTGTACTATGAGCTCCTGCCAACCAGTGACTGCTGTCGTCTACGCTGCTCGACTTCAGAAGTTGGCTGGCGTCATTGAAAAAGAGCATCCCAAACACGACAAAGTTCTCCTTCTGCATGGCAACGCTCATCCACGTGTTGCAAAGATGACTCGCCAGATGATTTTGGAACCAGGCTGGGAAGTTTTACCCCATCCAGCATATTCTCCGGACTTGGCCCCTTCCGACTATCACTCGTTCCGGGCCCTCAAGAATCACCTGCAGAACAAGGCCTTCGACGATCGAGCACAGCTCGAAAATGATGTCGGCCGTTTCTTCGCTTTGCAATTGCCAGAGTTCTGGGCAAAGGGCATCGAGCAGTTACCCGTGCGTTGGGAACATGTCATAGACAACAATGGTCATTACATTGTAGACTGAAATTGCATTTCAATAAAGTTATAAAATTTTGAAACATTTGTGCAGAGTGTTGCAAGACTTTCTTTCCAACCCAATATGTCTTCATCCAAGAGCAGACTTATCTTTGCTTACCAGGTAATGAAAACTAGGTATAAGTTGTTGGACACCCATCTTTTCTGTGTTTAGAGAGATTATGGTCACAAAAAATGTGAAGGGGCAAAAAAATAGGAACAGGAAGTAGGATGAGGAAAAAACAATAAAAAAGCAAACTAGTTTGAAAAGCTTTTTTCTTCTCTGACATGGTGCTATTGATTGAAATTGTTCATCCTTTCCTTCATAAGTACAATAGCAACTTGATAGACATCCAAAATCTTTCATTGGAAGACACTATTAGAGTTATGCAGGATCAATTAGAGTTATGCCCCCAAAGCAGGGAAATAGAGTTTATTTTCTGAGGTTATGACTTTTAAGTGTTACTATTGCAAAATGTATTTTAGGGAGGTGCTGAGACACAGGTTCCCAGATGACTACAATCCACTTCCATCTTCTGAAAGGTCGAACAGGAAGCCACAGAGCAAGTTCTATTACACATATCATCCAGATCCTCATCTGAGGGAGACAGCAATTTCATTCACTCCAGTATCTCCCGTGAGAGCTGTAGGAACCCCTATGAAACCCTTGGGGATGAAGGGAGGAGGGAAGCGGGAGCATCGGCGCATCAGCTTTGGTCGCACCAAGAGGCCCAAGGTGATTTTGGTTCTGGCACTAAGATATTGAGGCAACCCTGTAATGACAGCCCAGGGTGCCTCATAAGAACATTGTAAAAAGAATAATGATGTATATGCTTATAAGGAAATCCAGAGACTGATATTTTCTATGCCATTGACTACCTTAGAAGCCTGAAAATGCATTATAGACATGGGATGCTCAACTTGTGGACCACAGTTTGGATCCAGACCATGAGGTTCCATCCTCCAGACTGCAGATTCTTCCTTTTTCTGAGTTTTTTTTTCCTGATCTCATTTCTTAGTTGGGGACCCCTGTTATACACTGTTGGCAATTTGGCCTCAAAATTTATGACTCAAAGTGGGCAAAATGAAATGTCAGATGATTCATACGACTGTGAGAAGTCTTGGATGCTAGCTATCATCATATCAAGTATTTAGTCCAGTTGAGATCTTACAAGTGTTGCAGTAGTCTGATTACATAAAAGCAGATTGTTCTAAGAAATTTGAAATGAGAGATACTTGCATGCAAAGAACTACCATTTACTATTTAAATGGTCTGTCCATGTGTAATTTCTTAAACATTTCATTTATTTATTCAAATATGGACTGGGACAGATACCCTGGCAAGAATAAATGTGCAACCAGCTGGGCACATGGTATAGGACAGATTATCCTTATTGAACATCCCTTATAGTGTTGCCACATCTCCTTTGCTCTGTCACACTGTGTCCAGTTTTTATGGGCCCAGGGAATGTGATGCCAAACCTCACTGCCATTCAGGCACTAGTCCTATCTCTGCATGCTGGGCTGATGTACTAGGTGTAATGTTGGTGCATGAAACTCCAACATCATGTGGCATAGATGCTCAGGGTGACTTTTACTGGGGCTTAATGGAGAGCAGGTAGCAGCAGAAAGCAACTCAGTGAACTGTCAGTCCAGGAGAATACTGCCTGCTTCTGGTTGGTTTCAAACCTGGACCTCCCATGTGCTTCCCCCAATACCCTGTTTGCTTAACCACAACAGTGCAGTTATGGAAGCGATATTACACAATTGGCTCTTCTGTGTACCTCCATTTACACCCATATGATATGAGTTCCACCTATGTTCTGAACAGGATTTTCTTCCCATTCTTGTAGGGAGTCCATTGCCTATGAGTAGTTGTCAAAGTGTCTCACTTTGTGGGAAGGATTGGACCTGTATTCTATGCCTGCCTTTTGACTTGAACTAAAAAAAATATTGATTAACGAAGTTCAAATAACAATATATTTTGAACTGGAAATTGAATCAACTTGAGGCTTTTTTAAAAGTCATTTTTAAGTTCAGAGTTTACATCTTCATTCAATTGAAAATATGTTTGGAGAAGTCACACCTTTTTAAATGTTTCTCATTCATGCTTTATGGATATTTGCCCTTGGCTACTTTTGTTTTTATATTATTTCCAGGTTTCCAAGGACATGGCAGCCCCAGGTGCTGAAACTTCACATGCTTCATCGATCACCAGCATGGCACACAATGGGAGAGAACTTTCAGACCATGATGCTGCAAAAGCATCTTCACCAAGTAGACTCCCAGAACAATTCACTCACAAATTGCAGCCCACAGAATCATGTAGAATCACATGCTGCATTGATTATAAGGTAATTTTCCAGGGCAATGCTGACAGGAGAAACAATGCTCCTGACAGCAAAGCAACAGATGAGAACAACTCTGATCATCTGGTATCTCAGCACATTGTAGAATTACATCAAGAGAAATCAGACCACAACAGGATGGGAAAGCAACATGTGGATCTGATGTCCAATGAAGAGCAGAAGCAATCCTGTTATGATGTGTCATCATCCACTACTTCTTCTGCTTGGTCCCCAGGTCATATAAATGAACATGCTGAATGTTTTGGATCCCAGACTTTGGAGACAATATCAAATAGTCTGAGCTTTGGGAATGATATGGAAGGGGTCCAAGATTCTGGATTTCAAACTTTGGAGACTGCATCAACTAGCCGTAGCTTTGAGAACAATACAGAAGGGGTCCCATATCATCCTCCTACAGCTGAGTCTGCATCTTGCCATTTAGACACAGGCGAGGAATTATCTCCTGGGACAGCAATAGAAAGAGAATATATTAGGACTCTAGACAGAACTTGCTCTCTGAATGTTCGCATCCCCAAGACAGGATTGCGGAAAAGTGGGAGTGTTCGTTCTCCCAGTGAACGAAAGATCGGTCAGGCACGTCGCCGTTCACGAGAATCTTCTACAAATCCTGAGCCCACTCCCCCCCTACCATCAAGGAAGCCCTATGATGGTCCTCAGGCAAAAACTCCTCTCATCACCACTCCAGGGGATATTACAATGCAATCGGCTCGGTCCATGCTTCGCCGTAATCGCCCCAACAGTGTCCGGACCGGATTGCCTAAGCCTCATCCTCTGCAGAGAGTTCTTCTGGATGCATCTGGGCATAAAACCATGCTTTTCTTAGGAACTCCCAGTCAGAATCAGTCTGTTCTGGCTGCAGATGAATTTCAAGTTGCTGAACTTACTCAATGCAATGAAATAACTCCAATCCTGGGTAGGCATGAAGGAAGGACATCATTGTCAAGACTGTGTTCAAGTAAGGAGAAATTGCCTAGAAGCAGTGGCCAGAAAGGTATCTCCTCAGGTGGTAAAACAACTCCTTTGGGCTCATTGGTTCAATCACAAAATGCCACAGACAAATTGGAGAGAATGGAGGCAACACCAGTAAGCATCCACAGACAGCCAAATCATCATAAGGGAGGGCAAGAAGAGATATTAAGCATCGTCTCGGAAGAACCCATGGAGTGGCAGACAGCAGAAGTAGTCTTGAGTGCAGTGGGTGATGGGTTATCTGATCATATGCCACCTGTCCAACGAGGATCTATTCTCAAAATCAAAGAGAAAAATCGTGGAATGGTTCGGGCAATGGCAGATCATTACGAGAGTGTTAAAGGTAGAACCATGATCCCAATTGCCAAAACTCCACAACATCCACCAAGACGTACTCAAACGCATATACAGACTAAACGTCTTTCTTCGACTCCAGCTCGGAGGATGCAAAGCTGCAGAACTCCTCAAAAGAGAGCCAAAAATGAAGGAACACCTTTGCAGGATAGGAGTAATGTTTTGAGAGCAACAAAGTCACACAGTTCCACTCCAAGGAAGAGTGATGCAAAGAAAGCACAGACATACAGTCTCAGGCGTTTGAGTACACCAACTGCTCGGAAGTCTTCTGGACTCCAGGCAACTCTGAAACCTGATGCTTTGAAGCAGTCCATGAGAGGGAGGAGAGAAAAAGCTCCTTGTGTTCAAAGGCATACTTTGGAAAATCGCCTGTATGCCCTCACATGAACATATTTTTACTTGGCGCATTGTGCAATGCATCCTGTGAAGTATATTGTATTTTGTGAAGTTCTCCATGATGTTGATTCTTATGTAGGCTATTTTTCTATCCTATTTTTTATATGCCTAAATCACGACAGGTTGTATTTTGTAGACAATAGCTTAGTGTTTTGCAATCATGAGATTACCAGGTCTTTAACACTTCACATCTGACGAGACTGAATGCTTCTGTAAGTGGACTGTGAATTTTGTATGCTTTTGCAAACTCAGGCCTGTCAAAAGACATGCATTATCCGTTTTGTTGAGGAAGTTTTAAAAGCCTAGCCTTAACATTTTAGGTAATTGACCCTCACTCAGCATGACATTTCATGTGTTGTCCATATTATAGTGTATAGCAAATTTAATTCCTATCTTGAAAATAAAGTTCCTGCCTTCTCTGCGTTTTGGTTTTTTCTTTCACTACCATAGTTCTGTAAATATACTGCCCTCCAAAAGTCTTTCAGCACTTTTTCATGATGGAAATTCTCAGCACCTAAAGCATCATTTGCGAAAATGTTATATATCCTCAAACTGCTTAATCTGTTACCTTTGCAAAGCACCCACTCTTGCCATTTGTGCCACCATTTCTCCAAAATTCGCCTCAGAATCCGTCTGGTCCGGTTTTTCTGCGTGGAACACTATTGGAAAGCCTACAATTTCAGCAATTCATGCGAGAAGCATGCTTTTCTCGATGCACCTTAAGGAAAAGAGTCCTGTCGTCCTTAAAAGCACTTCCTTTAACGTCCTTTTACGTTGGTCAATTTACGATTTTACAATTTATTTACTAATTGAAAGAGACTCTTCTAACGCTAGAATTTTAAAAGTATTCTCGTCGTCGTCGATTGTAGCGAAACCCAGGGGGTCACAGGATATGGAACACGAATGCCTGGTTACATAAGGGGATCAGACCCAATGTGGTCGGATGGTAATTTAGCAAGGGAGAAGCGTATCTCTCTTGGCTCTGCTGATTCCAAGTGGAAAGGAAGGTACGTCCTTAGGTCAACGTTAACAACTGGGCAGAATTTGTTGGATCATCAATGGAGATGCAGCCTCACGTTCGTAAGGGGACTCGTACGCACTTCATCCTGATACGTGGACGGTCAAATCCGTTGGCTCCTGTCCGCCGACCGTGGTCCAGGTCGTCGGCTCGTGATGAGTTCTCGGCAGTTCACTATACTGACCGGCTCACAGTTCGGAGCACACACCGTGGTCCATTGAGTTGACCGGTTGTTGGGGTCGGGATGCGTGGCTCGACACGCCACGTGTTGTCTAGCCAAAGGTTCAAGACGGACTCCAATGGGGCAGGACGAGGGCGTGAAGGGGAGAGTGGTCCGTTATGGACAGGGCCGCCCAGAGGTTTCCAGGGGCCCGGAGCAAAACTAAACCTTAGACTCCTTGGGTGCCCCCTTGAGGCCCTTTGGAAGCCCCCCCTTGGGACCCCTTGATACGTGGGTCCCGGGGCAGATTGCCCCTATTGCCCCCCCGCCCCCCCCCCCATTTCCCAGCAGGTAGATATCGTCCCATTTCCCCCCCCCCCCCCCCCCCCCCCCCCCCCCCCCCCCTCTGGGCGGCCCTGGCTATAGACACTCAGCGTAGGAACTCGGGGGGACTCATTACCTCACCTAGGACACCAGGAGGACTCCACACGATATCCTCATCAGTCGGTGCTTCTAAAGTCACCAATTCACTATCGACTTCAGCAACCTTGTCCAAATGTTGGTCATTGCAATCCCGGAAGTAATTACGCTGTTTTTTCTGAGCCACTCCGACAAGGGAAGGTCGTTTTCGTCTAGTTCCGACAGCTCGAGTCCATCATGGGGGAAACAGTTTTGAATGTTTTTTTGTTTTATTTTTTTACCGACGCCGAGCCACATGGACCATCCGAATTGTATCCAGGACGGTAACTTCCATTTTCTGTTCGATGCATCCAATTTCAACAGGAGCAACTTTCGACGTTGTGTACACAAATGAAACACCACAAGTCGGATGGAAGTGGAAGCAAAATCAAATCAATACATAATGTGGTGTAATGATCATTGGTAAACGTCAGGTTTTTTCGTCCAAATTGGTCATGCAGTGCATGACTTGCATGCCCTAACCGCACGCCACTGCTCGACATGGAGGCTCTCGCCGATGACGGAGTTCCGTATCCGATCACGGCGCACCACGCCAGCCACCCGATGCTGGAACCTCATCGAGGCAGCTTGTGTTCGTGAACTGGTTCTTTCGGTCACTAGTCGGAGTTCATGACCATAGGTGAGGGAAGGGAGATAAACGTTTCGCTTCCCTAGAAACTTCCGATCTTGCAACCACGGTTCGCCTAAGTTCCCGCAGAACTGCAGAAGCGTCGGAGATGCGGCTGTCGATCTCGTTTCCTTGTCTCGTCGCTCGAGAACCAGACCCCGAGGTGCTCGAACTTCTCCACTTGTTTCAGTGGACGCCACTGACATGCAGGGTCCACTGCACGGGATTTCTCGAGAGGAACATGACCTGTGTCTTGGAGACGTTCGGTTTCATTCTGGCTGCTGTGCATTCGGAGTCGAACCGATCGAGCACGCTCTGGAGCTCCAGTCGAGAACGGGCCAAAAGGACGGCATCCGAGGCAAAGAGAAGTAGCCTTACTGTGACGTCACCGATGTTGATTCCCTCCAGGCCGAAGCTGCGCCTACAGATCCTGTCCATGTGCCGGGTGTTGCACATATATAGCCCCCTCCCCCTTCACAGCTTAAACTTTAAGAGCTAGGAAAAAAACTGGTATATCATGAGAAAGAGCATTCATTTTTTAATCTGAACTTGTACTTCTCATAATTTGTGTGCACCCTGGCTGTGTCTCTGAGAGCTTTAATACGAGCGAGGTAAAATGAAAAGAGGCAATTCAAGAGTTCCGTGGCATCTTCCACGCCCTTCAACATTCAGGTAATGTCGCTTTGCAAGGCTTCCGGGGAAAATCCATGCTGCTTGCCCTCCATGCGCACGAGCCGCAACTCGATCTTTCAGGATAACCCCAATGCTCTCAGCCACATTCAGATCAGGAGAGTTTCCTGGCCCTTTCGCATTTCCAAAAAAAAAATAAATCCCTGAGTCTTTCAGCGGTTGCCGTGTGATCAAAGCTTTGAAAAATAGGACTTCAGAAGAAGACAGAAGCTGAACATTTAATCTATTTCGAAACCCATGAACGGGTAACGAATTCAGCTCCGGCATCATGAGCTCGAAACGTAATAGCACGGGTGCGATCAATGAATTTAAGTTCTTCATTATCAGATGACATCAGAAAAAAAAACAAAATGGGATGGAATAGATTCAAAAGTGAAGAAGGATTAAAAAAAAAAATATATATATATATAATGTTGAGTCCTATGTTTAAGAAAGAACGGCTTTTTAAGCGATTACCGAATTGATTACCGAAGCGATTAGCGAATAATAATAATAATAATAATAATAATAATAAGGCCGGGAAGTCGTATCCATGGGGTCCAAGTGCCCCTGGCCGGATACTGCCTGGGACCCTGTGCCCCAGGTTGCTAACATGGAGCGCCGCCCTTCCGGGCCCAACCAATCAGTTAGGGTGAAACATCTGGTTCCCAAAATGAAAAGGAATCCCACCGCTAGCAATGGGGATCAATCCCTCTCGAGGGCCCCTACAGTCGGATGCGGTGGCTCGAATACGTCTCGCCAAGGACGGA